GAGCCGGTTTAACCCCACACCACGGTTGGGCCAAGCTTGCTGTCAGGTGAGGGTCACATACAGGGCCAGGCTGACCAGCCCCGGCCTTCTCACCCCCCACCCCGAGTCCAGGGGGCAGCCCAGCGAGGGGGTTGATTGACCCTCGCTGCCCCCCCAGCAGCAAGGGGAGGGGAAGCCCCGGTGTGTGGATCTCCACAATGAGGCAACGTGGGAGCTAACAGCCCTTGGCATGAGCAGTTGGATTTGCTGCAGCCTACAGCAGCTTTTCCCTCTCGCCTGTGGGGCACAGTCAGCCTGTGGAACTCACTGCAGCATGATGCCATTGAGCGGAGCTGCTGAAAAGGGCATCGCCCAGGGAACACCAGTCAGAACAGTCGAACTGCCAGCGTTCCCGCTTGAGGACGGGCCACTCGAGCCGGCCCAGCGGTAGGACTGCTGGCGATGCCGAGATTGGGAAAGGGGGCTCCATCCCAAATAGGTTTTCACTCTTCATCCCTCCATTTCTGGCAGCCCCCCCCAAAATATTTAGTTCCTGAAGGTCTCAGCGGTTGCTCGTTAAAACCGATCGCGGTTTCAGGGGACACAGCGGATTCGGCGTTTCTGAAAAATCCCGGTGGGAATCCTGCAGCCTGTCCCAGCAGGGCCCATGGGCTGCAGGCACCGTGCGGCAGCTTCCGGCCCCACCGGAACCCCACCCCAAAGGCAACGCACCAGCCTCATGAAAAGTTATAAATCATTCCTTTCTTTATTAAACATAGCTTGCAAGTGATAAATATTACAAAGTTTTTTTTAATCCTTTCTCCAAAAATTAGCTTATTATTTTTAATCAGTCACTGCATAATTGCTTGGCAGTATTTAAACAGCTTTTTTTTTTAAACCAGATTTCAAACACAATGCAAAAAAACTTAAAATTGTGCAAAAGGCCTGGTTTCCTGCCCCCCTCCCGGATAGCTAGGCTGCAGGGGTGAGGCTGGCCCCCCAGACCTCTCCCTCCCCAGCTGTGACGGGGCCACTCGGGAGCTGCGGGGGGCCTGGCGCCAGGCTCTGTGCATGAACTCGGAGCAGGAGGCTTTGCTGGGAGGCTGGACCCTGCAACACCTGCCCGGGGTTGGGGGCCCTCGAGCCGGTGACTGCAGCCACAGCCCCAGCTGGGCTGGGGACGACTACGTCAAGGGGTCCAGACTATCAAGGCCCCTGGGGGGCAGCGGCCGCCCACGCAGGGGAAGGGACGCGAGGCCGGGGCAGAGCTGTGGAAGGGCTGGGCGGCAGCCGCGCTGCAACACTGACCAAGAGCCTCTTGCTCCCACGCTGAGCGGCGCTGCCGCCGTTTCCGCCAGGCAGGCTGCGCGGCGCCCAGCTCCCCGGGGCGCCCTGGGGCCGGTCTGGACTCGCTTTCCGTGGGTGGGCGAGCAGGCGACTGCCCGCCACGGACAGGTCTGCACAATGCACTGGCCAGGCCCCTGCCCTCAGCTGCAGGCCGTTTCCGGGCCAGCACGTCCCCCTTGGCCACCCTGAGCGCTTAGCGCGTGGGGAGATGGAAGTGACACCAGCCCGGCCTCCTCCGCCCCCAGAACCGAGTGGGCCCAGCTTCCTGCCCTGTCCCCAGGGGCCTGCAGCCATCCAGGCCCCTCCGGGCACTGCGACAGCAGGGCCAGCGGTGGCTGCAGGCCCCCAAAGCCCATCCTGGGAGGGGCTCGGCCCACGGTGTTTGATCCCCCGGCCCCGGTGGGAGCTGGCCGACACCACGTGCTGGCAGGCAGGGTGAGGGGGACTGGGGAGCAGGGAGCCCCTTTGTTAGAGCAGCCCGGCCTGGGGGGGGAAAAACAGGGGGATTTTGCAGAGGGCAAAGGGGGTGAGCAGGGCCTGCCAGCTGTGCCAAGGGGAAGGCACCCGCTGGGCTGAGCGGGGGGGGCTGCAGGAGGGGCG